AGAGAGAGAGAGGGGAGAGAGGGGAGGAGGAAGGGACGGATAGAAAGAGAGAAGGGAGAAAGATCCTTCAAGGAGGGAGTGATCACCTCTGTGAGAGGTTCAACAAAATGACTGTTGGCTGCACGGTGAGGAAGCAGTGCTAGGTGCAGTTGTGCTCGAAGCTGGACGACCGTGAAACAAATATTCTTTCTTTTCAGTCCTCTTCATGACTGTCCTTGTAAGCTTCAGGCTGAAAATGCAGGAGGGCAAAAGCTTGGAGAGAAAGGATCCTAAGGTGGAGGGAGGGGCTCTTTGAGTATCGTACGATCTCGTCCAGGGCTAATGTCATTGTTGTTTCTACTGAGCCTGGGATTGGATTGAGACCTCCCAGAGAGAGACAACAAATAAAACGTCTGAAAAAAAGCGTTCCGGAGCAGGAAAATTCATAATGAAGAAAACGCACTGACAGCTTATCTAAAAATCATGCTTTGGACTTAGACGAGAGCGAGGGGAGCAGTGTGATACCTTCCTCAGAACTGGTAGCTGCAGCGGTGAAGAGGGAACCCAGTAGACACAGAGAAACACCCAAAGCCTAAAGGAAGGAAGCTCCGCCTGAGACAGGACGACTTCCTCTGGCTCCGCCTCTCTCCTCCAGCCTATAAGGATCCAGAGAACTGGAGGCGGCGCTGGGGCAGGGAGGAGGGCGGAGCCCAAGGACCGTAAATCCTCCAGAGAGGCCGCATCTACTTAAGGGCTTGAGTCCCTTAAGGACTCACAGTTGCTGCTCATTGCAAAGCTTGGGTGGGTGTATAGCTACTTTGGAAAAAGGTCTGGCAGAGTCATATAAAACTGAATATTACACCTACTCAACGACCCAGAATTTCTTACCTAGATATGTATTCAAAAGAAATTAAAGCCTAAACGTGTAGTGCATGCCTGAAATGCCAGCAACTAGGGAGGCTGAGGTAGGAGATTGAAAGATGGAGGCCAGGCTCAGTAACTTAGAGAGACCCAATCTCAAAATAAAATATACAAAGTATTGGAGATATAACTCAATGGCAAAGGGACCCTGGATTCAATCCCCAGTACAAAAGAAAAAGGAAAAAAAAAAGTTTATAAAAGTCAAAAGAAAAAATGTTATAGGAAAACTTGTGTGGAACTCTCAAGAGCCTCTGTAGAAGCAGGCTGTGGTACTACAGAGGAGGAAAGAGTTGACTGCGAATGTGGTAGGCCTATTTGAGCAGAAGGTAGTGGGAAGAACAAACAGCCTTTTCAAGCCGACTTGGGTTCAAAACTCTCACTTTCTGTGAGGCTGTATTCGTTTCTTATCACTACTGTTTCTTTCTTTTTTTTTTTTAAGAGAGAGAGAGGTATTTATTTATTTTTGTATGTGGTGCTGAGGATCGAACCCGGGCCGCACGCAAACCAGGCGAGCGCGCTACCGCTTGAGCCACATCCCCAGCCCACAACTGTTTCTTTAAAGAATTACTATAGGGCTATAGGGATGGGGGTATAGCTCAGTTGGTAGAGTGCTTGCCTTGCATGCACAAAGCACCACAAAAAAAAAAAAAAGAGGGAGAGAATTACTATAACCCAGGTGCGGTGAAAGGCCTGTGATCCCAGCAGCTCAGCAGGGCAAGAGCAAGGCGCTAAGCAACTCAGTGAGACCCTGTCTCCAAATAAAATACAAAATAGGGCTGGGGATGTGGCTCAGTGGTCGAGTACCCTGAGTTCAATCCCAGGTAACAAAAAAACAAAGAATTACTATGTAGCCAAGCGCGGTGGTGCACACTTGTAAAACCTAAAAGCTCAGGAAGCTGAGGCAGGAGGATGGCAAGTTCAAAGCCAGCTCTCAGCAATTTAGAGAGGCCCTAATCAATTAGGTAAGACCCTGTCTCAAAATAAAATATAAATATAAAAGGGCTGGGGGGTGGCTTAATGGTTAAGCACCCCTGGGTTTAATTTCTGGTAAATTCCAGAAGAAAGAAGGAGAAGGAGGAGAAGAAATGTTTTTTAAACTGGGGATTGAACCCAAGAGTACTTTACTATTGGGCTATATCCCCTTTTTATTTTTGAGACAGAGACTCATTAAATTGCTTAGGGCCTTGCTTAGTTGCTGAGGCTGGCCTTGAACTTGTTATCCTCCTGCCTTAGCCTCTGGAGCTAAGAGGCTAAGGCATCGCAGGTGCTATTTCCTCTATTTTCAAAGCCAGCAGTAACAGTAACATATCTCTCTCTGCCTTCCTCCCTCCCTCCCTCCCTCCTTGGTCTTCTTCCTTTGTCAAATCTCTGATTGTCCAGAATAATCCCCATATCTCAATTTCACTTTCTGGTGCTGGGGATTCAGCCCAGGGCCTGGATCATGCTAGTCAATCACTCTACCACTGAACTACATCCCCAGCCCTTTTAATTTTATTTTGAGACAGGGTCCCACCTAGTTGCCCAAGCTGGCTGGGAAATTGCAATCCTCCTGTGATCACCTTTGGAGTTGGTAGAAATATAGACATGGGCCACCATGCTGGACTCAAAATTATTAGCCACATCTGTAAATTTATTTACTTATACATAAAACCTATGTTGGGCTGGCGTTGTGGCTCAATGGTAGTGCGCTTGCCTAGCAAGCCCAAGGCCCTGGGTTCCATCCTCAGCACCACATAAAAACAAGTAAAGAGGGGCTGGGAATGTGGCTCAAGCAGTAGCGCGCTCGCCTGGTGTGCACGCGGCCCGGTTTGATCCTCAGCACCACATACCAACAAAGACGTTGTGTCAGCCAAAAGCTAAAATGAATATTAAAAAAATTCTCTCTCTCTCTCTTTCTCTCTCTCTCTCTTAAAAAAAAAAAAGTAAAGGTATTGTGTCCAACTACAACTAAAAAATAAATACTAAAAAAAATAAAACCTATGTCACAGGTACTCGATATGTCAAGAAAACACTGATGAAGAAAATTTTCTAAAAGTTTTGTTAGCTAGGTGTGGTAGTGTTTGCCTGTACTCCAGCAATTTGGGAAGCTGAGGCAGGAAAATCATAAGTTCAAGGCCAGCCTCAGGAAATTAGTGAGGCCCTAGGTAATTTATGGAGACTCTTTCTCAAAATTAAAAGGGGGGTGGGCTGGAAATGTAGCTCAGCAGTAAAGCACCAGCAGTTTCAATCCCCAGTACCAAAAATAGAAAATTTTTTTAAAAAATTTATTATTTTAAGTTTTATTAGGAGCCAGGCACAAGCATAATAATGTGCACCTATAGTCCCAGCTACTAGGGGGCTGAGGGCAGAAGAATGGCTTGAGCTCAGGAGTTTGAGGTTAACATAGCAAGGCCCTGTATCAGAAAAGAAAAAAAAAAGCGCTGGGGCTGTAGCTCAGTTGGTAGAGTGCTCGCCTTGCATGCACAAGGCCCTGGGTTCGATCTCCAGCACCTCCACCAAAATAGAAGAAGAAAGAAAGAAAAAGAAAAAAAAAAAGTAGCCTGGTGCGGTGACAGTGGCACATGCCCATCATCCCAGCAGCTCGGGAGGCTGAGGCAGGAGGATCACCAGTTCAAAGCCAGCCTAAGCAACAGCAAGGCACTAAGCAACTCATTGAGACCCTGTCTCTAAATAAAATACAAAAAATAGGGATGATTGTGGCTCAGTGGTCTAGTGCCCTAAGTTCAAACCCTAGTACCAAAAAAGGAAGAAAAGAAAAGTGCTGGCCGCTTAGGTGAATACCTATAATCCTGGCAGCTCCGGAGGATGAGGCAGTAGGAACAGAAATTCAAACCTCAGCAATTTAGCAATTTAGTGAGGCCCTAGGCTACTCAGTGGGAACTCTGTTTCAAAATTAAAAGGAAAAAAAAAATGGCTGGGGTTAAGTACCCTGGATTCAACCACACACACACACACACACACACACACAGAAAGAAATATGGGAGCTATCATTATCTGTAAAGTGATGTGGTTGTACTCACCCGTAAAAATCTTTTAGCTTGTCATTCCAAGTTTTGACGAGGCAAAAACGAGAATGAGAATTTAAAAACAAATTCTCAGAGCATCCAGTATAACAAGAGGTTTAAGAATCCCCTGAAGGGCTGGGGTTGTGGCTCAGCGGTAGTGCATGTGCCTGGCAAATGTGAGGCACTGGGTTCAATTCTCAGCACTGCATATAAATAAGTAAAATAAAGGTCTATCAATAACTAAAAAAAAAAAATCCCCTGAAGAGTCAGGCTCAGTGGCACACGCCTGTAATCCCATGGGATCTGAAGGATCACGAATTCAAAAACCAACCTCAGCAAAAGCAACTCTGTGAGAGTTTCTCTCTCTAAGCAAAATACAAAACAGGGCTGGGGATGTGGCTCAGTGATTGAGTGCCCATGAATTCAATCCCCAGTACCCCTCCCCTACGCCCCCCCACCAAAAAAAAGAATTCCCTGAAGCCTGGGAATCCTTCCTTTTCTTACACCCTTTTGACACCTGGCACAGGTTTCAGAGTTCCTTTCCTATGGGCATCAGCAGGGAGGGAAAGACAAATGACAAAAAAAAAAAAAAAAAAAGATTCTTAAAAGGGCAGAGAAGGGTGAAGAGTGTTGTGGGGCAGGATAGGGGACTTGGTAAACCATGGGGTGATTTACTCGGAAGTGAACAATGGTACTGAGTGGAAACAGAGTGAGCCTCAGCGTGTGAGCTAGAGGGAAGAGGGAGGGTGTTGATAGAATAATTCTCAAAACTTCAGAGTTGCATTGTGAGACTAGAGCAGAAGTTCAAGCCAATCAAAGCAGCCAATCAAAGCAGTTTCTGTCTCCTTACACCACGCTCAATCATATACCGGAGGAAGTAGACTGGGGTATCACAAATAACTTTCCTCGGGTGTGCGATTGAGAAGACCCAAGCTTCTGGAAGTGGGAACCAACGAAAGCCCCGCCCCCATGGGCACGCCCACGCTGTTGATTGGCTGAAGGATTTAAAGACCCGACCTGTCATAGGTTGATTTTTCTATCCCAAGTATTTGAAAGTTCCTAGTTTGTCGCCTGTCTGGCGGTTTATTGTTGCGACTGCCCGCACAAGTGAGTTCCTGCTCGACCTTTGAAATGGGAGGCAGAGAATCTGGTTCTTGTAGGGGTCCCCGTCGGGAAGGTACAGATGAGTGGGTCAGACGGAGGGAGCACGGTTTCCGGGTTTTCCGGGACCCCGGGATTTACCTGAGAATTCCTTTGCCAAATATTTTCCACCCCACCCCCACCTTGGAGGTGGGAAACTCCTGGCATTAGAATCACACTGACCGTGAGACCTACTAGTAATGGGGTTTTATCAAGGGCAAAAAAGTTTGTCTCTCCCAGTCTGTTTTCACTTCTGTAATAGAGACCTGCCTGGCTACCCATAAACCTAACTTGGAAAACAGAAGGTGCACATTTCATGTAAGTCCCCTTCCCATCTCCACACTTGAGACTCCCTTGATTTTCCGAGAGAGGACCATGACGATTACCGTGCTGGTTCTGGGTCTCAAAGCAAAGCAGGCCTTTTTGTCTCATCCTCCTCCGCCGCCCATGCCCCCATGAAATGCGGGGTCCTAGCAGGACAACCGAGGTTTCTCAGTTTCTGATACTTTTGACGCTGCCCCTAGCGTGTATTTCTGGAGTGGGCTTTCGATTAGCCCCAGGGACCTTTTACCGTTTCTAGTGACTTCTTTGTGTTACCAGTGAGAATGTCCATGACCCTGTGTGACAGGGTTCCGGGTTACGGACTCTACCACCTATTATATCCTGAATCTCTGTGACCTCTATGCTCCGGTCTCTTCGCAGACTTGCAGAGGTGGTAGCAATGCTCTCGAGCACCCAGGTGGCTGCAGCGGAAGGTGACCAAGCGGACCTGCGGTGCCGTGTGGCGGTGGAGGAGCTGAGCCCAGGAGGGCAGCCACGGAAACGCCAGACCTTACGCACCGCGGAGCTGAGTCTGGGTCGAAACGAGCGCCGTGAGTTGATGCTGCGGCTGCAGGCTCCGGGACCAGCCGGGCAGCCGCGCTGCTTCCCCCTGCGCGCCGCGCGTCTCTTCACACGGTTCGCCGCGTCGGGGCGCAGTACGTTGAGGCTCCCAGCAGATGCCGTTCCCCTGGCGGGCGCCGTGCAGCTGCTGCTCTCCGACTGCCCCCCAGACCGCCTGCGGCGTTTCTTGCGCATGCTGCGTCTGAAGCTGGCTGCGGACCCGGGTCCCGGGCCTGCCTCCGCCCGCGCGAAGCTGCTCAACCCTCGCCCCCGCGACTTCGTCACCATCAGCCCAGTGCAGCCGGAGGAGCTGCGGCGTGTGGCAGCAACCCGGATTCTGGACACCACGCTGGCCAAGCAGCCGATGGAACCCGGGACTGGAGCCAAGCCCAGCATGGTGAGATCGGGAGAATGGGCACGTCTTTGGGATTCGGTATGCTTAATCATTAGGATGGAAGAGACCAAGGAGGCCCAAGTGTGGGGGACTAGACTGTGGCGATATTCAGGGAACAGCTGTGAGCTCAGAGATGCCATAGATCATGGAGTATGACAGGGTCGTTGGACTCTTCTGTGCTTCCCATATATAAGCCCTGAACCTGAATAAGCAAGAACAGGTAATGAGAGTCCAGATAAGAGAACACCAGAAAAGGCGATTTAAGAAGGCAAAGTAGGGGGCTCAGCGGTAGAGCGCTAGTCTAGCATGAGAGAGGCACTGGGTTCGATCCTCAGCACCACATTAAAAAACAAATAAATAAAATAAAGGTACTGTGTCCAATACAGCTTTAAAAAAATGGAAGGCAAAGTAAATTTAAAAAGAAAAAGAAGAAGGCAAAATAGACCAACGCCTATAATCCCAGCAGTTCTGGAGGCTGAGGCAGGAGGATTGTGAGTACAAAGCCAACCCCAGCAATTTAGCAAGGTCCAAAGTAACTTAGCAAGACCCTGTCTCAAAATAAAACATATTTAAAAGTGGGGGCGGGGGGGCTGAGGATGTGGCTCAGTGATTAAGCATCTGTGGGTTCAAATCCCTTGTACACACATACACACACAAAAAAGGAAAATTAGGAGTATATTAATGTATTTGGGGAGAAGTGAAGCAGTCAGCAGTATCTGGACAGTCAACATTCCCATCAGATGAGGGAAACATGTCTGATGGTCTGACAACCGTTTTTGGACTGGGGCAGGTTGGTTGCTGACCACAGGGTTTTGAGACTAAGCTGGCGAGAAGCTAGAGATGGAACAAGAAGGGGCCTTAGTTGGGCAGGGTTATGTTGGATATTTTGAGGTGAGAATTTTGGAATAGGAGGAGAAGTGAGAAGAAAAGTTGGGTGAGAGAAGCAGCAAGGTGAAGGAACCCAGAGGAGGAAGCTGAAGGAGGATCCAGACCCATACACTGGGGATCTTCAGGGCACGAGGAGAGACCCAGTAGTTACTGGCAAGATCTCCAGGTGAACCAGAGCTGTCCTAGGGTACCAGGGAGTGAAGCCAACCAAGGGAGAAAGCCAACAGTCTGTATTGAACACAGATCAAGAAGGGTGGTAGTAATGTCTGGGGAGGTGGGAGGAGGCTCTGAGACAGCCCTGTCTCCACCAGGAAGCCCCAAGGTGGCCTTTGCCTGTGAAGAAGCTGAGCTTGCTCCCCACCAAGACACAGCTTTCTGAGGAACAGGCTGCAGTGCTGAAGGTTGTCCTAAAAGGCCAGAGCATTTTCTTCACTGGGAGCGCAGGTAGCAGGGGCAGAGTAGGGGTGGAGGGGACAGTGGTGGGGGTGGGGTAGGATGGAAGAACAGGCAGCCCTGACTTTGCCTCCTGTCAAGGGACTGGGAAGTCATATCTGCTGAAGCGGATCCTGGGCTCACTGCCCCCCACAGGCACAGTGGCCACTGCTAGCACTGGGGTGGCAGCCTGCCACATTGGGGGCACTACCCTCCATGCTTTTGCAGGTAAGTGGGAACCCCTGGGGCTTGAGATAAGAGCAAGTCAGACCTCTGGGGTGGAGGGAAAGGAGGGCAGCATTGATGGGGGCTGGGGTCTCAGTTCAGGCTGAGTAGTTTCATTCACAGGCATCGGCTCAGGCAAGGCTCCCCTGGCCCAGTGTGTGGCTCTGGCACAGCGGCCGGGCGTGCGGCAGGCCTGGCTGAACTGCCAGAGGCTGATCATTGATGAGATCTCCATGGTGGAGGCAGACTTGTTTGATAAGCTGGAGGCTGTGGCCAGGTTAGTATATATGGTGAGGGTAGTAACTGAGGCCAGAACCTGGTTATTTCCCAAGTGGAACTGTCTACTTAGCTTTTTTAAAGCACTACCTGCTCCCCTCCAGAGCTGTCCGCCAGCAGAACAAGCCCTTTGGAGGGATCCAGCTCATTATCTGTGGGGACTTCCTGCAGTTGCCACCAGTGACCAAGGGCTCCCAACTCCCTCAGTTCTGCTTCCAGGTACCAGTCACCCCCTGGCCCTGCCCCCCTGGAGTGGTTAGCTGTGTTCCCTGACCCACCCCCACCCTGACCCCAAACAGGCCAAGAGCTGGAAGAGATGTGTGCCAGTGACCCTGGAGCTGACTGAAGTGTGGAGGCAGGCGGACAAGACCTTCATCTCTCTGTTGCAGGCTGTGAGGCTGGGCAGGTAGGCCCTGGCAGGTAGAGAAGGGACCATGGGGTGAGGAACCAAGCACAGTGACCCAGGGTAGGGGGAGAGATGCCTGTTCTCAGGAGTAAGTAGTCCACTAAAAGAGGAGTTTTAGGCAGGACACTGGTCAACTCAGGATAAATGGCAGTCGATGACTCCAAAAACATGGTCCCTGCAAGTGGTGGGACCCAGCCTCCCTTGGATTTGAATTCCTATCACCCAGCACAAAGGCTGGCATAGAGTAGGTATCAAGAAAGAAAAAAGGATGGACAGATGGACATGCAGGGGTTCAGAAATGTCAACATCCTCATTCCAGATGCAGAAACTGGGTCAAAGAGGTGAAGTGACTCATACAAATTTATGTCCAGTAAGTGGCTGAGCTGGGACTTGAACCCAGATCTGAGTCTTAAAACCCAAGCTCCATCTACTCTGGGACCCTGTAGGGTCAGGGTCAATTAGTAGGGAAGGAAAGGTTATGGACCTGACATCTACCTGCTGAGGTCAAAGTTAAAGTGCTGTACCTATCTTAAGGTGGAAGTAGAAAGGAGGCCAGGAAGGTGAGCAGAGCTGGACCTGGAAAGATAGGTCTGATTGGGATGGGACTCAGGTGGCGGAGAATCTATGCCTGGGGAAACTTTTTGTAGATTTGGGAAGCAGGTGGGGAGGGAGCACAGCACACTCCGACACATATGGGGAAGGCCAAGTGGCAGTGTAGGCAGAGAAGATTCCAAGCTATTCCCATTTGGTGGCTATTGCATCTGGGCCTCCGTGTGAAAAGTGGCTTGACACGAGAGAAGATAGAAATACAGGCTAGCTATTTCATCCAAGACAGCAGGCAAGTGGCTAGAAAATTGTATGTTGGAGGGCCATCTGATGACAGGGTAGCCAGTATTATCTACATCAGTGCCTTGTCCCAGGCCTGCAAACCTCTGGCCTATGTTCACTCCTCATTTCCAGCTTCCTCAGAAACACTTTGGGGTGGGATGTTGGTCAGCTCCTACTGGGGGGACAGACACAGAAAAGGCATCACATATGATCACAGCTAGCACCCCGACCCCATGCTCATTCTCCATATCTAGGGTCCAAGTGGAAAAAGGACAAACTGGCCAACCTGGGAGCCAGCATATCTGGTCCTGGTACCCTTTTCCAGTCCTCAGGCCTGACCTGTAGCCTGCTGCTCAGGCCATACTGCCCATGTTCCCCACCTCCTCTGGTGTAAGTGAGCTCTGCCTAATAGCCCAGCCCCCACAGGTGCTCTGATGAGGTGACCCGCCAGCTCAGGGCCACAGCTGCCCACAAGATAGGGCGAGACGGAATTGTGGCCACAAGGCTCTGCACCCACCAGGATGACGTGGCCCTCACCAATGAGAAACGGCTGCAGGAGCTGCCAGGTAATTAGAGATCCAGGACTAGGTAAGACCAGCTGGGAGGGGTCATCAGGCAGGTGTGGCCCCCAGGCAGCCTGGGCTTTTAGAATCATTTGGGTATCCAGGGTCTCAACCTCTGTGACCATAAAGGCCCTTACATTTGCAGATGTAACTGTGATCTTAAGAGGTTGGGCAAACTGATTCCAAAGCACCCACTTAGGTCTGAGTGGCCTATCTCCCATACCATGGTCTAATATGTGGTTTTAGAAGCTGAGCCACAAGTCAATGATTCATAATCCTGTTTTTCCATCTCTCTTTTTCCAGGTGAGGTACATAGCTTTGAGGCTATGGATAGCAACCCTGAGTTAGCCAGGACCCTGGATGCCCAGTGTCCTGTTGGTCGGCTCCTTCAGCTAAAGCTGGGGGCCCAGGTGAGTAGGAAACTAGGTCTAGACCCTGGCAATCTGGACTATCTTGTATGAGCCTCCCCAATCCCTCTGCCCAGGCCATTCTGTAGGCAGTGCACCAGCTGTGACCTCACAAAAACCTCCATCTGGTTTCCACCTACCTTTCTACCTTCAGTTTTCCACTGCCCTCCTTGTCTTAACTCCTGGAGGTCCTCCAAGCAATGTCACTTTGGGCAAGTCCGTTCCCTTTGCTGAAGCTCAGTTGCCTTGTTTCTAAAATGGGGGTTGAAACACCTCCCTCCTGGCTGTCTTTAGTCGTGTACCTTATAGATGGCTGAGTCCTCATCTCTCCCATAACAGTGGGGTGAGCAGAATGGGAGACTTTCCTCTGGGCCCAGAGGGTACCCACAGGGAAAACAAAGGCACAGTGTGGCTGAGACCAGGGTGGCAGGAACAAGGGCCATCCCTCAAGATTTGTGGCCCCATAAGAGATCTGATCATTTCTGTAGCCCAGTGATATAGGTGACCTTACAGGCTTTACCTCTTCCTCCTGAGGCAAACTGAGCAAATGTATTCCCCTTTGACACAGGGGAAACTGAGATCCTGGGAATTAAGGCTGTCTGCCCCAGGGGTCAGAATTAGCTGGTGGCAGAGCTGAGGATTGGGACTGGGCACCCTTTGATGATAACCCCCTGCCCTTGGCCTCTGATAGTGACTGCTAGAGTTGATCCAGGTGTAAGGATGGGCCCTTTGCCACTTCTCTAGTCCTCCTTCCCCTCAGGTGATGCTGGTGAAGAATTTAGCTGTGTCCAGGGGCCTGGTGAACGGCGCCCGAGGTGTAGTAGTCGGGTTCGAGACTGAAGGGAGAGGTAAGTGATAGGGAAGGACAGTTGTGCTGTGTGGGTTTGCAGTAGGGCCTGGGGAAAGTGTGGGAGGAAAAGGCCAAAGACCTCTCCTCTCAGCCATGAAGCAGGACTAAAAGGTGGGACTTCTCTGTGCCTTCCTCAGGGCTGCCCCGAGTGCGCTTCCTGTGTGGAGTCACTGAGGTCATCCATGCTGACCGTTGGACAGTTCAGGCCACTGGGGGCCAGCTCCTCAGTCGCCAGCAGCTGCCCCTCCAGCTGGCCTGGGCGATATCCATCCACAAGAGCCAGGTGACCACTCTGTGAGGGAGTGGGGACAGAGCAGGTCAGAGAGTAGACAGCATATACCTGGGACATGTTAGGTTGTGTGCCTTGAAGGCCTTATAGCCTATGACCTAAATGGAAAGTTCCAGATCAGGAGTAGAATAAACCTTCTTCCTCACTGTCCTCAGAATAGACCTTTCTTTAGTAGATTTCCCAGCCCTTCTCCAGGGAAGGATATAAGTCACTTCCTCTTTGCTTTTTCCATTTGCTGAGCCACTACCAGATACATTAATCCCTACAAAAACAGTAAGAAGTTGGGTGCTGCGGCTCATGCCTATAATCTCAGTGACTTGGGAGGCAGGAGGATCCCAAGTTCAAGGGCAGCCTCAGCAATTTAGCAGGGACCTAAGCAATTTAGCAAGACCCTATCTCAAAAAATAAAAAGGGCTGGGGATGTGACTCAGTGGTAAAGCACCCCTGGGTTAAAACCCTAGTACAAAAAAAAACAAAACACCAAACTATATAAAGTACATGTAATTAATAATCATTCCCCTTTCTCAGAGAAGAACACTAAGGGACTAAGGAACTTGTCCAAGGTCACACAGCTAGGGAGTGTCAGAGCCAGGATTCAGTTTCACATCTGGGTGACCTAGAGCCTGAGCTCTTTCCTTTCACCCCCCCCCACACACACACTTCTTACCCTGAATCCATCCATGTCCCCCTGTATTCAGACCCGTCTGCAGTTAGGCTTTCCCTCTGCTGGAGCCTCTCTGGACTGAGTGAGGAAATCTGGGGGCAGTCACTGGGCTGGTGAAGGATCAGCTCTTGGGTGCAGGGGACTCCAGACTAAACTGTCTCTCTCTGTCTCTCCATCCCCCAGGGCATGTCTCTAGATTGTGTGGAGATCTCTCTGGGACGCGTGTTTGCCAGCGGTCAAGCCTATGTGGCCCTTTCCAGGGCCCGCAGCCTACAGGGCCTGCGTGTACTAGACTTTGACCCCATGGTGGTTCACTGTGACCCCCGTGTGCTGCACTACTATGCCACCCTGCGGGGGAGCAGAGACCTCCATCTGGTAAGAGGGAATCAACCACTGGAGGCTGAGGCAGGAGAATGGCAAGTTTGAGGCCAGCCTGGACAACTTAGCCAGACCCTGTCTCAAATCTTTTTAAAAAGGGCTGGGGGTATATCTCAGTAGTGGAGCACTTGCCTAGCATGCACTGGACCCTGGGTTCAATCCCCAACACTATTAAAAAAAAAAAAAAAGAGTCACCTAGTGGTGGGCCTGTGACTTTGGCAGGCTGGGACAGAGGGAAGGCCCAATAGAACCCTGGGATGGCAGAGCCCTCTACTGGCTCTTTTGGGGATGGAGGTAGGAGGAAATAAATGCTGGCCCCCCAGGCTATGGCCTAGAGAACAGGAAAAGCTTGTGACTGGCCTTTTTGGCTCTGATTCAGGAGTCTCCAAATGATGAAGATGCAGCCTCGGACCAGGAGAACATGGACCCAAACCTCTGAGCCTCTGCTGTAAAAAGAAGACAAAGAATGATCTCCACAACTTGCAGCTCCCTAGTGGACCAAGGCCCCAAGGAATAACTGGTGGAGGAGACCAGTGTTCCTCTGTCCCTTCTTGGGGGTTCTCAGCCTCCTTGCAGGACTAAAGGAAGAGTGCCTCCCACTCACTTACCAGCTATGCCACAATTTCTCCATGATCAGAAGTAACCTTTTTTGTGCCAGTTGGGAATGGGTCCAATGGTGTCAGAGGTCAAAGCTCTCAGCAAGGGATGGACATAGAGCCAAAGAGTCCTGAATGCTTCTCCCTCTAGGTTGCAGAAGAGAGAAGCAGGAAAGACAGAGGCTTAAGGGAGCAGCATCAGGCCTCTCCAGCTGGGACTGCCTTAGTCCATTTTGTATTGTTATAACAAAATACCTAAGGGTGAGATACTTCATAAAGAAAAGAGGTTTGTTGGTGGACATGATAGTGCACACCTATAATCCCAGTGACTCTGGAAGCTGAAGTAGGAGGATTGCAAGTTCAAGGCCAGCCTCAGCAACTAAGCAAGACCCTAAGCAATTTAGCAAAACCCTGTCTCAAAATAAGAAAAACTTTAAAAGGGGGTAGGGATGTGGCTCAGTGGTTAAGCACCCCGGGTTCAATCTCTAGTAGCAAAAAAAAAAAAGAAAAGAAAGGAAGGAAGGAAGGAAGGAAGGAAGGAAGAAAAAGAGAGAGAGAGGGAGGTTTGTTTAACCCACAGTTCTGGGGGCTCAAGAGCATGTAGCCAGCATCCACTCAGCTCTGGTGTGTCCTCATGGCAGATGGTATCAAATGGCAGAAGCACACATGATCATATGGCATGTGAAACAAGAAGCAAGAGATGGTCCAGGTGAGGTGGGCACCTATAATCTCAGGGACTCAGGAGGCTGACCTAGCACCTGGATTGTGTGGAGATCTCTCTAGGCCATGTGTTTGCTAGTAGTCAAGCCTGTGTCATGTTTCCCAGGCCTACAGGATGATCGCAAATTCGAGGCCAGCTTCAGCAACTTGGCAACACCCTGTCTCAAAAGATAAAAAAAAAAAAAAAAAAAAAAGGACTGAAGGTATGGCTCAATGGGAAAGCACTCCTGGGTTCAACCCCAGTACCAAAAAATTTAAAAATGAAAAAAGAAGATGAAGCCAGAAATGGGGAAGGGTCTGGCTTGCTCTTTTCATAACAACTGCTCTGGACAGAACTAATCCCCTCCTTCCACACCTGATACTCCTGTAGGACAGCATTAATCTACTGTGTGAGGACAGCGCCCCCATGACTTAATTACCTTCTGTTGGACCTCACAACTTAAAGATTTAAAGGTTACATCACCTCAGTACCACCACACTGGAGACCAAACTTCCAGTATATAAATCTGGAGAGGACCTGGAGGAGACTCACACCAGGTACAGGACCAAGAGAGAGAACAAACCTGAGTTATCCCACAGCTGGGGTCAGCCTAGCACAACCCAGAGCAAACAACCTTCTGAGCCTAACCTGAGAACATATGCTGCAAACGTGTGCCCATGTTTTATATATTATATACATAAATATACATATATTAATTTTAGTTGTAGATGGATATTGTAGTTACAATTTTATTTATTTTTATCTTTATGTGGTGCTGAAAATTGAACCCAGTACCTCATGTGGTAGGCAAGCACTCTACCACTGAGCCACAACCCCAGCCTCCTGTGTGCCCATATCTTAAGCTGCTTTTTTTTTTTTGCGGGGGAGGGATAGTGTTCTGGGGCACTGAAATGATTGTTCCCAGGTTGTATTTATTTAGGACAAATAAACCTGTGATTGTGTAAGCTCTGCACTTCCTGTCTCATTTCCCACCACTGTGAACATGCACACAGAGGTGTTTGCTCACGTCACAAGGGCCTGGATTGTGTGTATTTGTATGTAAAGTTTTGTTAATATCATTGGTCATTTGGGAAGCTGAGTTATTTGAGGCTGGTGACTAACAATAAAATGACAAAATGAATCACCATCACCCAGTAGTCAGACAGGAACACACTACAGCATATCTGTTTGGGCCCTGCTAGAACTCTGGATTTATATCCTGATGGGGAAAAAGTCATCAGTAAACTACCTGCAGTTCATGAAGAAGCATGATGGAAGCTGCTCAGGGGTCCTCACAGGCTAGCTAGAACTGGTGCGGTTCTCTGCTTATGAAAGAAAAGTATCAATTCTGGGTGGAAAATATGGGCTATAATAGAAGCATGCATCAGCCACTAGAAGTGTCTTTCACTAATAAAAGAGAGCAATAGCTACTTAAGTGTAAAATCACCACTAGGCATGGTGGTGCACACCTATAATCCCAGTGGCTCCGGAGGCTGAGGCAGATGGATCCAAGTTTAAAGCTAGCCTTAGCAACTTAGTGAAGTCCTGTCTCTAAATAAAATATATAAAAGGGCTGGGAATGTGGCTCAGTGGTTAAGCACCCCTGGGTTCAATCTCAGGTACCAAAGAAAAGTAAATTTACCAATGATGGGAGAAGTAGAGAATAATAAAATCATGTTGGTTGCTGGAAGCCACAAAATCTAGGTGCTCAGAGGCTCTTATTGCTGTCTCCCAAAAGCCGGCAGGGGCCAGGTACAGTGGCACATGCCTGTAATCCCAGCAGCTTCAGAGGCTAAGGCAGGAGGATAGAGAGTTCAAAGCCAGCCTCAGCAACTTAATGAGGCCCTAAGCAACTCAGTGAGATCCTGTCTCTAAATAAAATACAAAATGTGGCTGGGGATGTGGATCAGTGATTAGATGCCCCTGAGTTCAATCCCTGGTACTGGCCCACACACACACACACAAAAAAAGAGCCAGCAGAGGTCCTAGTACACAGAGGGTAGGTGCTGAGGAAGTGACTGGCTAAATGGTGGAGGCTACTGACATGGGGGCTCAGTGCTGTGGTGGTTCAGAGAGGTTATAGGGCTCCTACCTTACTGAAAGTTCTGTGGAAGGAGTAGGGCAAAGCCCATGGGAATGACCGATGGTTTTAGCTCAGGAGACAGACCTGGCTTTCCTTCCTGATTTTGCCACTCACCAGCTACGTGAGTTTAGCTGCTGCACAACCTCTAGAGTCCTTCCTCATCTGTAAGGTGCAGTGCTGACTGTTCTTTCACATAGGATTTTTAGACAGACCAGCCAGGAGCTGGGGGTATAGCTCAGTGGTAGAGTGCTTGCCTACATGCCTGAGGCCTGGGGTTCAATCCCAGCACTGCCAAAATAAATAAATAAATAAATAAAGCCAACTATTTGGCAGGACTCCATCAATAGCCATCACTAATATTTATAATCACTATTGAACATTTCTGTGAAGTGTGAAGTTTGTAGAGCATAACTGTCTAGTTTCTACACAGCCTCTTTTTTTTTTTTTTTTTTTTTTTTGTACCAGGGATTGAATACAAAGTCATTATTAAACAATAAGCCACATACCCAGCTCCTTTTTTATGTTTTATTTTGAGATAGGGTCTCACTAAACCCTGAATCTTCCCTAAATTGCTAAGGTTGATCTCAAACTTGTAATCCTCCTGCCTCAGCCTCCCAAGTCCCTGGGATTACAGGCATGTACCATTACATCTGGCCCCAGGGGCACTTTTATCATCGAGTTATGTCCCCAGTCCTTAATTTTTGTTTTTTTTTTTTTTTGCTACTGGGGATTGAACCTAGGAAAACTTCATCACTGAACTACATCTTCAGTCCTTTTCATTTATTTTGAGCCAGGGTCTCACTAAATTGCCGAAATTGGTCTCAAACTTTCAATCCTCCTGCCTCAGCCTTCCAAGTCCCTGGGATTACAGGCCTGCACCACCACATCTGGCTACATAGCCCCATTGGCAGAAAAGATATAGCACTCAGAAGAGCGCCAACCTGGCCATGGGAACCCATGGCCATCTGGCTCTTGTCTCCAACCTTGAAGAGTTGAATGTTTTTCTGTGGCATGATCCCTTTTCTCTGCCCTGAGTGGAAGACACTGAAGAATTAGAAGCTGCTGGGAACGGATGGTACACAACTGTAATCCTAGCCACTCAGGAGGCTGAGGCAGAAGGATTGAAAAATTGAGGACAGCCTCAGCAAATTAGTGAGGCCCTAAGCAACTTAGCAAGACCCTATCTCAGAATAAGAAATAAAAAGGGCTGGGGATGGGGCTGGGATTGTGGCTCAGTGGTAGAGCGCTCGCCTAGCATGGGTGGGACCCGGGTTCAATCCTCAGCACCCCATAAAAAAATTTAAAAAAATGCATTGTATTGTGTCCATCTACACCTAAATATTAAAAAAAAAAAAAAGGCTGGGGATGTAGCTCATGGTTAAGCGCTCCTGAGTTCAATCCCCAGTACCTAAATAAATAAGTAAAAATAAAAGCTGGGTGTGGTGGCACACGATTGAAATCCCAGAAGCTAAGGAGGCTGAGGCAAGAGGATCACAAGTTCAAAGCCAGCAACTTAGTGAGGCCCTAAGAAACTTAGTGAGACCTGTCTCAAAAAATTTTTTTAAAAAGTTAGGGATGTGGCTTAGTAATTAATCACCCCTTGGTTCAATCCCTGGTACCAATAAATAAATAAATAAATAAAGGCTGGCTGCTGGGGATGTAGCTCAGTGGTAAAGCATTCCTGAGTTCAATCCCCCGTACCAAAAAAAAAAGAAGCAGAAAAGCCAAGCTCATTAGGATGACCCCACCAACCATTGGGCAACCATAAGGGTAGATATTTATTTATTTATTTATTTATTTATTTATTTATTTATCTTTGCAGTGCTGGGGACTAAACCCAGGGATGTTCTACCACTGAGCTACATTACCAGCCCTTTTTACTTTTTATTTTGACATGAGGCCTCCTAAATTGCTCAGACTGGCCTTGAACTTGTGATCCTCCTACCTGAACCTCCAGAGTAGCTGGAATTATAGGCATGTGCCATTTATGTGTCAGGATGTTCCTAATCTGCCCAAACAACATGGTATTCCTTCTAGCTTGCTTTCTTCCTTTCTTTCTTTTCTTTAGAACTGGAGATTGACTCCAGGGGCACTTTGCCTCTGAACTACATCCCCAGTCCCTTTTATTCTTTGACATGGGATCTCACAAAGTTGCTGAGGGTGGCCTTGAACTTGTGATCCTCCTGCCTCCTGAGTTGCTGGGATTACAGGTGTATTCCACCATGCCCAGTTCTGTCTCTTGTTTTTTATCAGTTCTGTACCCCCTGGGGGTCATTGGATGGAAACAGGAGAAATTGACTCAAGATAACTGAAAGTAGAAAAGGAAGATAATAGAAGACTAGCTCACAGAACTGATAGGAAGCCCAAAAAATGAGGCTTGGAAACATACTGGAACCAGAAAGGCTAGAACCACTAGCAGGAATACAGCTGGGAGCACTCATGCCAGGAGGACCTCTGTGGCTGCCACTGGACACTGAGCACAGTCCAGGAAGGGAGTTCTGCATTCTGCCACCTCTTCCCCTCACTTAGTCCAGTGATAAGACTCCTAAGGGTCCTAACCTGGCATGTGGCTGGTTGACCTTGGTTCCCTGCACAACTCCTACAGCTGCTAATAAGAGGCAGAATGTGCCATTGAGGTACAAGAGGGACCAGTGCTTCTGTTGCAGATGAATCTCCCAGAGCCAGGCTGTCCAAGGGACCTGGGAATGCGGTTATTTTATTTTATTTTTTTTCAGCATGCTATCTGGGATTCCCCATTCTCAGACCCCACCCTCAACACAACCTGCTGAGGCAGCTCCACCCACTCAATCCTTTCCCCTTCCCTTGACTGAATTCAGCTTTCTCTGGTACCCTATGCACCTACCTGGCTCAAAGATATCCTCCATTGGGTACTAAAAGGCCCTCTCTTAACAATTCCTTCTCTTTCCCCTCAGCATCATCCCTGAAGGAATTGGACACAGGAAGCCAATTTAGGAACAACTGTGTCCTCAGGAATCTCTTGGGTTTCAGGCAAAGAAATGCAAAGTCCTGATGACCCACTCAGAATAGGGGGGCAGAGGGGAGGGGTAAGTACAGATAGAACAAAAGCGAACATATCCCCAGTAATCTTAACACAAGGCAATAAAAAAGACTACCATGGGCTGGGGATATAGCTCAGTTGGTAGAGAGCTTGCAGCACACATGCACAAGTCCCTGGGTTCGATCCCTAGTACAAAAAAAAAAAAAAAAGATTACCAGTGGGCTGGGATTGTAGCTCAGTGGTAGAGTGCTTGCCTAACATGGGCAAAACTGCTTCAATCCCCAGCACCATGAAAAAAAGAAAGATGATCAGATCAACAGGCCTAAGAGATACTTCCAGTGAGCTGGGTATAATAAGTGAGCAAATAAAAAGATAATATCACTGGGCTGGGGATGTGGCTCAAGCAGTAGCGTGCTCGCCTGGCATGCATGTGGCCCGGGTTCGATCCTCAGCACCACATACAAAGATGTTGTGTCTGCCGAAAACTAAAAAAAAAAAAAAAATTAAAAAAAAAATTCTCTCTCTCTCTCTCTCTCTCTTAAAAAAAAAAAAAAAAGATAATATCACACTATGATGAAGACTATGTAATTAGAAGAAACGATAATAGAGCTTTTATTTTTTTATTAGTGCTTTATGTTTATATATAGTGGTTGGGCTCATCCTGATAAACTCATATGTGCATGAAAATTAATTTCAGTTTAGGATTCCACTCTTTTCCCTCTCATCTTTCCCCATCTTTTTCTTTCTTTTTTTTTAAATTTTTTTAGTTGTTGATGGACCTTTATTTAATTAATTTATTTATATGTGGTACTGAGAATCAACCAGAGTGCCTCACACATGCTAGGCAAG